CATCAGCATCAAATTCAGACTGAACCTTCATAATCCACATTGAATATCGAGTGAGAGTATTGCTTTCTCCCCTCATCAGGCTGAAGCTGAACAAACAGATTGTAATTGGTAGCTGTGCAGGAGGTGCCAAAACACATTAATTTAAGATTAATTAAATTTCCAACCACATATTAGGCTGTTTTCATATTTTGTCCAGACTGAAGCCCTCTGAGAGAATGCTGCAAATGAATTGATGGATTAATGTGGATTTCAGTATATAAAAATGGTCCCTTTGAGCTCAGTGGTAAATTGCACTTTTGACAATATGCTGCTTTACTTGCAATAAATTGTTGGGTAGCTGTTATAGAATTAGTATTCTGTTTGGAACATTGTGCTATTACAGAGCAGTAAGTCATTTGTCTGTAAAGGTTAATACAATAGGTGATGTTCTTCAGTGCACACTTTACACTGAGTAACCTGTGCACTGAAGAACGAGCATTTCTACCCTCTGAAGGTTGCCCCCTAACTTATAAACTATGGAGAAGAAGGACGTTTGATCAATATCAGCAATGTGGTCTCACAAACCTGTTTTTCTCAAGAAACCTGCATTAAGCAGACAGATACAGTAAGCTGACCAATAAAATAAGCAGACACGTACAGTAAGCAAATGCGTACAGTAAGCAGACGTGCACAGTAAGCAGACATATACAGTAAGCACACATGTACAGTAAGCAGACACATACAGATAGCAGACACATACAGATATTTACAGTAAGCAAAGAATGCAGTAAGAACACTGAAGAGGAAATTTAAAGAACACTGAGATTTCTGTAAAATAATTTGTGATAATTTAGATGAAACTGTAGAATGTTAGAAATTTAAAGCACAGAAGAGGGCCATTCAGCCCATTGTGTAATGCTGGGTTTTCAAGAGCAATTCTTTTAGTTCCATTTATCTGCCCTTTCCTCATATCTATGTATCATATTCCTTTTAAGGTATTTATCTAGTCTACTTGTGAAAGCTAATGTGGATTCTGGCTCACCCACCACTTCAGGTAGCGCATTTCATATCCTAAATACTCTGTCTGAAAAAATGTCTCTCAACCACCCCATTTGCTCATTTGTTAGCTATCTTAAATTGATGCCCTCTGGTCACTGACCAGATACTGGAGAAATAATTGCACTTGATGTAGCACCTTATCACCTCATTGAGACGTCTCAAAGCGCTTCACAGAATATACTCTAAAGTGAATTGACTGTATATTTTGAGGGCGAAACGAAGCAACGAATAGCACACTGCAGCGTCCAACAAGCAGTGTAGATGTAGTGACCAAATTATTTATTCATTTATTTATTTGTTTATTTTGGGAGGGATTTTTACCTCCAGAAAGCAATCCACCAATTGACTAACAACCGGGTTTGTTCTTACTGCTGGATAAATAGAGGCATGTGGAGTAAGGAAACTTGCCAAAGGTTTTGCCTATCCAGGATTCGAACCCAGGTCCTCTTGCTAGTGAGGCAAGTTCTCTAACCAATACCAGGACTCCTGAAATGGGGTGGAGGTGAATTACCCCCAGTGGATTTTATCACATAGATAGAGTCCATCAATTAATTTAAAAGAAAATTAGTTAGGTGAATGAAAAAGTGTATGAGCTGCAAGCAAGTAGAGAAACAACACATGCTTAAACATGATGGGCCGAATGACCTGTTTCTGTGCTGTAAACGTTCTATAGGCCCAAACTTCTACCTCATCATAACCTGTTAAGACCCTTTTGTTTTAAAATTTATTAGTAATAATAATAATCCTTGCAATTGATATAGCGTCTTATCACATCTTTGAGACAACTCAGAGTGCTTCACAGAATATACTGTCAAGTGAATTGACTGTATTACTTTGTGGACGAACGGGGCAGCCAATGGCGGACAGCAGTGTCCTACAAACAGTCGTGGTTTGAGTGACCAAATTATTATTTTATTTTTAAAATTTATTTTGGAGGGATTATTACTCCTGGAAAAGCAATCCGCAAATCAACTAACAACCGGGTTCCTATTTACTGCTCGGTAAACAGAGGCGTGTGGAGTAAGGAAACTTGCCTAAGGCTTTGTCCTGCCTGGGAATCGAACCCAGGTCCCTCACTCGCGAGGTGTGTGCAGACCCATCTCTACTCTCAAACTACCGCCGTATCTCCAATCTCCCTTTCTTCTCCAAGGTCCTGGAATGAGTTGTTGCTTCTCAGCTTCGCTCCTTCCTCTCCCGCCACTCCCTTCACGAACACCTTCAATCAGATTTCCATTCCTCCCACAGCACAGAAACAGCCCTAGTCAAAGTGACAAATGACATTCTGTCCATCTGTGTTCAGTGCCTCCTCGTCCTCCTTGACCTCTCTGCTGCCTTCAACACCGTTGACCACTTTATCCTTATCAACTGCCTCTCTTCTCACCTCAACCTTCACGGCTCTGTCCTTTACTGGTTCAGATCGTACCTCTCACACCACCTCCACTTCATCTCCACAAACGGTTTCTCCTCTAGCCCCGGCACCGTCTTGTGTGGTGTTCCTCAGGGCTCTGTCCTTGGTCCCCTCCTCTTCAATATCTATATGCTTCCTCTTGGTGACATCATCCGCAGACATGGGGTCAACTTCCACATGTACGTGGATGACACACAACTGTACCTCTCTGCCTCCACGCCGTTGTCTCACACCGCAGGCCCCCGAAACCTTCATACACGCATTCATAACTTCAAGGATTGACTATGCAAACTCCTTGCTTGTCGGCTTCCCAAACTCCTCCCTCCATAGGCTGCAGATCATCCAGAACTCTGCAGCCTGTGTCCTCTTGCGCACCAGGCTCCGTGACCCTATCACCCCCATCCTCGCCCGACACCACTGGCTTCCCATCACACAGAAGATTCAGTTCAAGACCCTGGTCCTTACCTTCAAAGTCCTCCATTGCCTTGCTCCCCCCTATCTCTGGGACCTCCTAACCCCCTACCATCCTGTTCACTCCCTCCGCTGTGCGGGCTACGGCCTGCTTCATGTCCCCCGCCTCGCTTGCTCCACTATTGGCAGGTGGGCCTTCTGCCACTCTGCTCTCACCCTCTGGAACTCCATCCCGCAGTCCCTCTGTCTCGCCCCCTGCCCTGCCTAACTTCAAGACCCATCTCAAGTCCCTCCTCTTCGACTGTGTTTTGATCTCCCTGCTTCCCCCCCTGCCCTCCACCTTCCCCGATCCCGACCCCCAGTTCAGGTCCAAAACTCTGTCTGTCCAATGCCTTGGAACGTCCTCCCGACGTGAAAGGCGCTATACAAATTTAATTTTGTTGTTGTTGTTGTTGATCGACTGGTTAATGTTCCAATCCTAGCCAATACAAACACACACTCACACACACATGCACACACAGTGCTGTTTCTGATATCCTGTAAGCTTTTTGTCATGGATCAGCATTGCTTCTTTGTTGAATTGTGAGTTCTTGACTTTTCAAGTTTCTCCTAATCGCATTTGAATGTTGCCATCTCCATTTCTGCCCCTTGCCCGAGGCTCTCCATACCACATTCTTTGTGCCAGCCACTTTGGAAAGCATTCTGATGAGAGTCTGCTCTTTGTTCCCATAACTGTATTGAGGTCTGTTCTAGCAAGGGCTTCTTTATTTGAGATGTGTCACAGCTTTTCATGATCAGTAATCTTTGGATAAGACTGCTGAGCTGCTGTCCTCTGTTTTCCCAACACTCCAGCTTTCTCTTTCATGCAGTAGGGTGTTCAACCTGATATAGTTTATACTCTGTGCCCTGCTTTGATGAGGATTTTCTTTCATCTCTTTGTGTTGCTAAGGGGCTTCAAACGTTTCAGCTATCTCCAGCAATACACTAATCCAGCCTGGGTTTAAAGACTCAACCACTTTGAAGCAGAGGGGTTGATGTGGTATTTCTTAATGGATTTCTTAATCTGGATATCTAAGACTCTGATCTGCAGGAGGGCTGCTCCAACCCAAATGTATTTTTGGTGAATTCCACCAAGTTAGTAAAGAAGCAAATGGGGAGGTTAGGAGAATTTTTTCATACACGCAGAAGTTGGACATGGAATCCCTGACAGCAACGGTGGTTGAGGCAAAATCCATATTGGCCTTCAAGAGAAAACTAGATAAATACCTTAAAAGGAGTCAGTTATAGGGATACAAGGAAAGGGCAGGTCAATGGGCTGAAAGGATTGCTCTTGAGGGAGCCAGCACAGACACGATAGGCTGACTGGCTTTCTTCTTTGCTGTAAATCCCCCCTGTTGGATTTCTTAATGAATAAGTCTGTTAAGAAAAATTAACTTGACAGTGGGTTTATTTGGCCTGAACCACCTTAAACAGCCAAGTCCATTGTCTTGGATGATGTGATAGAAAGATGCGATCTGCGATGTGATGATTTTGCATTTGATTTAGAGACTTTCATGTTGGGAGGACGTCTCAAAGTGCTTCACAGGATTCTACAGTAGAGCACTATGGGGTGATACCCTGCATCAGGGGCATTATATAAGTGCAGAATAAAAACAGAAGTCCCTGGGAACACTCAGCAGGTCAGGCAGCATCTATGGAGAGAGCTCTATGGAGACAGCCTCTCTCCATAGATGCTGCCTGACCTGCTGAGTGTTCCCAGCGACTTCTATTTTTTTTCAGATTTCCAGCATCTGCAGTATTTTACCTTTTGCTATATAAATGCAAGTTGTTGATGATGGTGGTGACTATGTAAGTGAAAAGTTGTGGTTGAACAAGTTGATAATTGGCTGAGGGTCTGTACACCTGAAACCCATTCCTCTGACTTTTGCTCAATAGTTGGGATGTTTTACAAGTTGAAGACATTGCCTTGTGTGCCACTGCCTTAACTCAATTTGAGAAGTGGCATTGCCTGTTTGAGGTCACGGTTTAATTACAATTTAATTCTCCTGGCTCACTGTTGAATTCCTTCTGTATTTATGTCCATCCATCCTTACACTGCTGCCTCTGAATAAAAAGGGTCTATTTTCCTCTTGATTTCTTGTAGATAATCCTGGTCAGCTCTTCGATGAACGATCGCGATCAAAGCCTCTTTATTAGCACAGACGAAGGTGCCATCTTTCAGAAGCAGCAGATCTCCTTCTCTGTGGAAACGCTGGTCTTTCACCCCAAAGAAGAGGATAAGGTGCTTGCATACTGCAGGGAGCAGCGAGTAAGTACTGACTTACAAGGACTCCTTTCTATTTTGGTGAGAGATATTTGAAGCCTTCTTCCAGGACCCTGCCAAATGGATAATCCAGAGATCCTGGCTGTCGACTGGAAAGCAGATGGATGATCCTCCACTGATTAGAGAAAGCCACTGATTTACCAACCATTTATACTGATAAAATCCTAATAAAGCTCACACCCACTGCAAGCTCCTCAGGTGATTTTCATAGTTAAAGGAAACACCAGGTAGCTTTAAGTCATACACACCGTGTTGCAGGATAAAATCCCTGCTATTAACTGATCTAATTTGAGACAATGTAGTTGACCTCAGCACCCCTCCACTGGAGATGAGTGCGTATGGATTGATATTTGGTATGAAAAGTCTGTCAGCACTTACTACCAAACTCCACACAACAGTTGGGTGAGGAGGATCCTGACACCTGTGGAACCAGTAGAAAAATACAAGGAGCCAAATATTTTCAGGTGTGCAGGAGAGGAGTGGAGAAAGTTGGTGGATAAAGAGAGAAAAATATAAAAATGGTAATATATCTCTGGTTGCAAATGCAAATATTTCTGCATTTGAAATATTTGCAGTTTTAACCTAAAAAATATTTTTAGTAGCAGAAGCAGTCATTGGTGTGCTGGCATAGTGTGGTCACACATTCTCTGTGAGTCTGGTACTTATCTGGAGACAAGTATTATTTGTCTTGTAAATTGTTACCCACAATTACTGTACAGTAGAGAACTGATTATCCACGCTAATTGGGACTGACTGCATTGTGAATAAATAAACAGTACTGAGAATTGTTCCATCAGGAATTATACTGTCACTGTATTACCACACTGTGCCAGCCTTACTCTTTGATTCTCTCCCTCTGACATTTTTTTCTTTTACCCTCTCTCACTTTACCATTCTCTCTCATTGAGCATCTCTCTCTGTCGCTGAGTGCTTGTGTCTTTGTGTGTCTCTTTGCCTCTCTCTGAGAGAGTAACTATCTATCTTTCTTTCCTACATTATCTCTGTCTTTAAACTTAATCTATATAATGGGAAATTATAAAGCCTTGCCTTCACTGCTGACCAAAAAAAATCCTGTTAGCATACATGCGAGTGAGGTTCCTAAGGTTCAGAACATCTCTAGAATCTCATGTTCAACTTTGCACATGCACACAATAGGGCTTTTTTTGCCAGTATTTTACAAGCTCATGTTCAATTCCACAACAGAGCCTGCGAGGTTAAACAGATATGCAGATAAATGGGTGTGCGTGTGTGTGGATAAATAATTTACAAAATGGTGCACAGATAAATGAACATTTGGATAAATAGTCTGTGGATAAATGAACATGCAGATAAATAGTTTGTGGATAAATGAACATGTGGATCAATCATAATGATAAATGGACTTGTGGATAAATGACGTGTAAGTTATCAATGTTCCTAACCAATCTGTTACCCAGAACTTTGATCCATTTGTACGAAATCATTTTCTGAACCAGGATTGGTGAAACATACATTTGTCTGTAGTAAACCTATACCCAGTGCAAACACTGCATAGCAATTACCAAAGATACATTGCTCCCTAGTTGGACTGTATTTTGTTATGGCACCTCAATAATGAAGAAAACTCAAAATTCAGACCACTTTTACAAAATTTGTTAGTTTTCGCTGATGGGAACCTAAACTCACTAAATATTGCCTTGTCCTTAATAGCGAATATCCACTGCAGAAAGAAATTGCCTTGGTGGCCGCCAGATTAAACTGTAACTATTATTTCAGGTGCCGATGGTATCAGTAAAATAAAGTTTGTGCTCAAGAGTATAAAGGGGATTGACAGTTCACAACAGTGAAAAAGGGTTGAATACTAGGGGATCTAAATTAATGTAAGGAGGTGAGGAATATGAAGGGACTTCACAAACGACATTCTCTCTATCTGTGACCAGGGCTCCCTCTGCCTCCTCATCCTCCTGGATCTCCCTGCGCGTTTGACACAGTCGATCACGGCATCCTCCTCCATCGGCTCTCCTCCCTCATCTACCTTAGTGAGACCGCACTCGCGTGGATCGAGTTCTACTTAACCAAACGCCTCCATTTCATCTCAGCAAATGGTTTCTCCTCCCACCCTCACCCGGTCACCTGCGGGGCACCCCAGGACTCCATCCTTGGTCCTCTTCTTTTCCTTACCTATATGTTCCCTATAGGCAATGCCATCCGCAGACGCGGAGTAAACTTTCATATGTTTGTGGATGACACACAAATCTACTTTGCCTCCTCTAGTACCAACTCCAGGTCCGCTAATGTTCTATTAGTTTGTCTGGTAGACATCGAGGCCTAGATGAGTGTAAACTTCCTGCAGCTGAATATGGACATGAGGGAAGCTATACTCCTTGGCTCCCGTCAACGTCTTTACACCTGCGGATTCAAACTCTTCAACCTCCCTGGGCTCTCCCTCAGACTCACCGAACCAGGGCGCAACCTAGGCGTGCAGTTCGACCCCCCCAACTGTCCTTCCTCTCCCACATCCAGTCCCTCACCAGGACCACTTTCTTCCACCTCCGCCACATTACCGGCCTTCAACTGTACCTTACTCCAAATGGTGCCAAAACCCTTGTGCTTGCATTTGTCACCTCCCGCATGGATTACTCCAACGCACTTCTCGCCAGTCTCCCCAGCTCCACCATTTACAAGATCCAGCTCATTCAGAACTCTGCTGCCCGTACACTGACCCGGAACAAACTCCGTACCCACATCTCACCGGTTCTGGCCAGGCTGCACTGGCTCCCCATCACCGAATGGATCGACTTCAAGATCCTTACACTCGTGTTCAAATCCATTCACTCTCTGGTACCTCCATACCTCTCCAATTTCTTCATTCCCCAATCCAGCACCAGTGCTTCTGGTCGACTCGCACTGGCCTACTGCTCGTCCCTCGCACTCTCTGCCCCACCATTGGAAGTCGTGCTATATATAAGTGCAAGTTGTTGTTGTTGTTGAATTCAGCCCTCAAAAGAATTTTTCAAAAAAGTACAACAGATTTGTGGAACACATGTGTATGTGGATTTGCCAGGTTAAACACTATCACCATATTTTTTCTCAGGTCCTGTCTGGCGGTCCTTTTATTTCCATTTGGAATGAACGTTTTCCTCAGCTCATGATTTTAATATGCGCTATTTCCACAATGTGAGCATTCCAGTTTCTTCAGTCTTGTCTCCCAGCCCCACAGCCTCTGGGCGATCAGGGGATTTGTTAAATCTTTAATTGCTCTGTACATTTGGCTCTGTACTTTCACACCAAGAATTCCACATAGACGTACTTTTTAACTGGAGCTGCTGTTTCAGTTTTCCAGCCCATTAATTGTCAATCTCAGGACAGGGTATGCTTCCAGACAGAATTAGTCATGGGGCGACTGCCATAAAAGTAGACTCAAGCCATAAAATGTCCCGTAATTAAACATTGCATATTGCTTAATGGTTAAACATTCAGTGCTCTTAATGCCTTGGCAATTGTCTCTATTTCCAATCTAAACTACTGACCTCGTCTTGGATAATGCAAAGAGAAGGCTTATTGGATCTAGGAGGCCAGCAATACCATCTGATCTTACCCGAGTATTAGAAGTGTGGAAAATTGGTAGAATTCAGTCTTTATTTCGAAGTCAGTTTTCCACAGCTTCTTAAACAAGTCTTCCAAAATATGACTACATTTAAGAACTTTCCAAAAGGCTGCACATTCTTACATTTTCAGACAGAATAAACTTGTAGGATGAGATGAGGTGGAATTTTGGACCTCATGGTTTGAGCCTGTGAAGAGACGGGATGCAAATGTAATTCCCCTGGTTTCCCGAGCTCTGATCTCAGGTGAACTGTTGCAGGGAAGTGTCCAAGTGGAGGCCAGGAGTTGCTTCATGAGGGAAGCGGATAATTAGATTAGGAGTCTCTTGTGAGTCTGTTTCCTGGCGATCAGCACAGATGAATCAACAGGATGAATCAATTGTATATCCCTTATACATTGGGACAATTGGCAGCAATGAATGAGAAGGCTGCACTCTGTGGTCGGCTGATGTGATTTGGAGCTTTGTGTCCCACAGTCTGTGATAAACACGGAGCCAGGCACCATCTGGTGCAATGCTCGGTAATTACAGAGCTCAATCAATTTGAATTCCTGCATTAAAAATATACATTTTTCCATAAACCATTTTTTAATCCAAAAATGTTACTGATTGCTTTGAGAAAGGCAAGGACAAGTGCAACATTAACCCTGTATACCTTCAACCCAGTTAGTTCTTCAGATGTTCTGCTTGTACCCACTCCTCTGCCCGCCCCTTCCACTCAGCTGGCACAAGTCAGCTATATGTGCGCTGACCCCTCCACGCCACCATCGGTGGCTGTGTTTTCAGCTATTATCTCTGGAACTCCCTGCCTCAATCCCTTTGCCTCGCCCCCTCTTTAACTATCTTAAAATCTAACAATAAGGCCTACCTCATCGATCACTCTTATGGTAACCTCCCTCTCTCCCACCTTGCTCAGAGTCCAACTATCATGCCATCCTGCATGAAGGGTGCTATGTAAATGTAAGTTGTTGTTGTTTTTGCCTTTGCCGGGAGTTGGAGCTAGTATTTTCTTTAGCTGATTTTGACGCCTGACTGGATTCCTCGCATTGTGCGAGTTCTGCGCGTGGTGTCACAGTGATATTGATTGTGTAATTATAACTCATTATCTTACCTCTGAACAGTCAAAGGTATTTGCTGATCTGAGGTGAGGCTGCCAATCTGCTAAGAGGTACCTGGAACTTATGTTCTCACATTGTTTGAAATCCAGCTGAAGTGCTTCCCACATTGACTGCAGAGCGACAGCAGAGTCGGTGCATGGTGCCGCTCAGTTTATCAAAAGAGGAGAAATAATTAAATTAGTTGTGTGCTTTGGTTTTGCTGCAGTGAAAGATGCCCTGATATCTTAGTGGGTAAAGGGTATTGCCTGGTCCCGTGATTAACCTATTCAGACTGGATTCTCCCAAATTTGAGTGCTGATAAGTAATTGTTGGCTGGCAAAACCAGTTAGAGAGCTGGAATTGTTTTTTGTGTTCCTGGGATTGGGAAAGAAAGGAAAATTGACCAGAGTTCCTGCCCCTGAAGTTTCTTAGCCTTAAGATCATTTGTTTGTGGGACACTGCTGTGCGCAATTGGCCGGCTGTCACATTTCACCCACAAAATACAAAATACTTTACAGTATATTCCGTGAAGCGCTTTGAGACATCTCAATGATGTGATGAGGAACTATATCAAATGCAACTATTATTATTATCATTGTCTTAAAGTTTATGATTATGTGGAATTTTAATAGGAAATTCCATGATGAATTTCATGCATCTGATTGCTATCTAGCAGTCCCTGAAGAAAAACTGTCTTTCCGTAGATGTGGGTGAGAACAGATCAGGCTCAGCTGTTATGCTCTCCACAGTCAATTAACCTTCCAACACTCGCAGTCCAGGCTCACTCATGTAGAGAAACCACTTGGGCGAAGGAGACGTTGTACCCCAGCAAGCGTCAGAGAAGGAGGCATGGGAATTGATCCTGTAAATGATTTATTTCAGTATTAAGCACTATCCACTTGAACCATCTGCCATGAGACTGCTGATACCCTCTGCTGAGACCTCTCGCTTTCTTTTGGGAACCTATAATGTGAGGAATCACTAGTCACTTTCTTTTGATTGTTACAAATTCAATATTCTTTCAACATTTTCCTAATTACTTCTATATACAATAATCGTTGGTGGCATTCGAGATTGGTGGCTTGTCACGTAACAGAGATGTCACAGAGTGCTTCACAGGATTTTATTGAAAAGTGCAGTGACTATGTTTGTAGGTAAGTTAAGAGAAACCCCTGAAATAATCTCTTTCTGGTTACTTTTTGTTTTTCATTATTCTCTCAACTTCTTCCTGCTCCTCAAGGGAATGGTTCTTATTGGAGTGAATCTCAGGCCAATTCCATTTGGGGCCAATTTTATCACTCCTAGTGCTAACTATGGACCTTCTAGATCTGTGTGGCTCGGTTTAACATTGGACCATGGCCTCCGAGGCTCTGGCGAGTTTTGTAATGATTTCTGAAACGTGTCTAATGATCCTCCCAGGAATTTACCTCTACTTTAAAACGTTTGTCTCTCGACTTCCTTGCATTGTGCTCGCCTGAGGGTTCCGTCCTTAAATAGAGGTCAACAACAACTAGGATCTCTCTCTGATCCTATTAAGTACTGTGGTGAACAAGGAGAGGTAATTAGTGGTTTCCCAAATGTGTTGTTGTTCAGACCTAGTTAAAGTGAGTGGGAATAATAATTCATTGGAGATAATCAGTACTGTATTTAGATTCTTGTCTAAATCAAATATCACAACACAGTAGAACACACAGAATATCACACCACTGATATCAAAGAACCACAATACACAATCCATTTGATGGATGCATTCATGAACTATGCAAGTGAATCAAAGCCCTGAGTGCAAAAATGGCAGATAAGAATTATGATCTCCCAGTGTCAAAGAAACCTTGGCTTCAATGCATGACATTTTATGCACATTTTTTCCAGCAGCTGAAAAGTGTTATCTTACTGAATGGCTTTTTAAAAAAAATTCTGTTTTTCCTATTCGCAGTTATATTTTTCCACTGATCTGGGAAAAAAGTGGCAGCTCCTACAGGAACGAGTGACAAAGGATCGGTTTTATTGGTGAGGATACACGATTTGTCAGAGATTCTGATTCCCTGTATCAATGTACAACGTATTCAGTGTCTAAGCACAATGTGGGAAGCAATATATTTGCCTTCTTTTTTCCCTAGTCCTATAGAGTAAAATTTGCAGTATTTCTTATTTAACGTTGGCATAAACTCCCACCATCAGGTTGCAGCACACCCCTCTAGGCAAGTGGCTACTTCCTTTCCTGCTACTTTTTAAAATTTGAGACAGGCAATTTTTATTTTGTAAACTTTAGGCCCTACATGAGGCTCTTTGTTCTTTTTGTTAGATATTTATCTTCCAGCATGAATCTGCTGAGGAGAGCCAAAATCTGTGTTCTTATTAGCTAAAACTTAATTTGTTTATCAATTCAGTGGGCTTGGCATTAGCCTCCAGGCTTAAACGCTAATGAAACATGGTTTACACAACTCATGTCATAGATTCCAGTACATGTTCCTCTCCTGTAAAATGCTGTAATATAAAACCTAATTTCACCAAGGTTCAAATCACACAATACCCGCTTTACTTTGGGTTTCTACCACAGAAATAGCTGTTCTGAAAGAGAATAAAACCATTAATTTGAACCCCAACTGCATATGTTATACAGAATATCACACCCAACGTGGCTCATTAAAATGAAGTGCTATCAAGCTTGACAATGCTATGTGACCCTGCAGTGACCATTGGGACATCCTCTCAATGGGAAAGGCCCTGTACAAATGTAATTTTGTATTTTATTGTTATTGTCTCGATCATATTCCTACCCAACTGCAGTCTCACAGGTATTGAATGTTGAAGTATAGTATCTATGTAAAGCAGAGGGTATCATTGTGTAATATCATACAGTAGTAAAATATCAGTAAAGTAGCATATTATTTAGTACGAAACAAGAGTAAAATATCGTTATTTAATACATATAATAATAATCCTTGCATTTGATATAGTGCCTTATCACATCATTGAGACGTCTCAAAGCGATTCACAGAATATAATGTAAAGTGGAGTGACTGTATATTTTGTCGGTGAAACGCGGTCCGCCCGTTGCATACAGCCGTGCCCCACAAACAGCCGTGGAGTGAGTGACCAATTTTATGAATATTGCACATTGTGGCGAGCAACAAAAACAGGAAGCGGGGGAAAGGGAAAGAAGAAGCTATATGGGAATATTCCAAAATGAGTCCCTAATTACATTTGGAGGTTTATATCTTTACATGAATTACACAATGATTGTTGCACATGTTTTGCACAGTGTATATTCTGCTCTGCCTGATGGTCACAAATGCTGCAGTTATTTAAGGCCTGGTTCCAGCTGGTTGATGATTGCACATGTGCAATTGTTTCCTTGTTGCTGCTGGAGCCTGGGTTCCCCAGCCATTATGGTGCAGGGGCAGCAACATACAAAATACTGCTGTATGTTTTCAAGTCATCAGAAGCAATCTTTATTTTGCCTTGTAAATCTTCCCCAATCTCACCTCCAAGTCAGAAAGTTGTGGGTTCAAGCCCTACATCGGGACTTTGAATTCACATGGTCTATGCTGAGGCTTCAGTGTGCTGCATCGTTGGAGGTGCTATCCTTTGGATGAGACATTAACCCAAGGTCATGTCTACATGTTTAGATGAGTGTTAAATACCCTGTGGCACTAATAGAAAGCAGAAGGAAGTGTCCTCGCCAACAATCCACCAAATAAAAAAATGTTCAATCTCTTCATGGCTGTTTGTGGGACATTGTGTGCATAAAAAGGTTGCTGCATTTGTCCACAAAATACACAGTCATTACATTTTACAGTAATCCCTTGAAGTGCTTTGAGGCATGTTAACAATATTATAAGATGCTGTATCAGGCGCAGATTTTAAAAAAATCTGCAGAGAGAACTTTCATCCTCTCATGGCAGTAAAGCCACATTGCTGACCCAGTACGGATAGGAAAACCACACAGCACATCCTTTATCTCCGCCCTCCCCCATATCCTCAATGATAGCTAAGCCACCTGAGGCAAGAAGAAAACTCACCATGGAGGGTGACAGAACACCAGTGTGTTATTACAGGTGTATTTATGTGTTAGTACCGGTATATTTAGGTATGGTAGAGGAAGATAGAGGTATATTCTAGTATCTTAGTACAAGTGTATTTCAGTGTGTTAGTACAGGTGTATTTCAATACACTAATGCAGAGTAGATTTCTCTGACAGTGTGGTGGGACAGCCACCTTCAATGTGGTTGGAGGATGTTTACAGGAGAGATCGAATGGCTATTACATATAGGAAGTGACATCATCCTAAATAATTCTTCACTTATATTTGAAACCAAATGAAATAACAGGTTTGATTTTGAATGCTGCTGTTTAGCTGCAAGCAGCTCTATGGGTGACATAATCAGCGTCTGAAAGATATCTTAGACACAGCTTGGCTCCTTCAGTGTAAGTATCAAAAAATGCTAATGATTATTTCTGATTACAGGTCTGTGAATGGCATTGATAATGAACCTGATCTGGTTCACATGGAGATTCAGCACAGCAGTGGAGGTAACTATTTGCTCATTATGTATGTGTACCATATTAGTGATATTTGTACCATGTTAGTGATATCATGATACCATGATCTATTTGCTAAAGCCCCATATATGAGGACTTGGATTGAGCAGCTGGTGCTGAGTAAGCCTGGTACACAACATTGGACTTGTGCTTCAAGAACATCAAGGTGGCTGGCACGTCACAAGCTGTCATGCAAAGGTTCTCCCTTCACTTTGAAGGCAGTTGTCCGCCAGATAGCTTGGGGCGACAACTGCTGGAAAGTGTTACCTGGAGTCCGAGTTCGTAAATACGTGTTTGTACATCCAATGCCTGGAATCCGCATTGATTGGCCTGCAGAAAGGCAAGGAGCTGCTGCTTAAGCTCTGCACCTCCAATTGGTGGAACCATCGCTCAATGGGAAGAGAGGTGTGCCGGAATTGTGGACAGGAAGATGGTGACAACGCATTTGATGCTAAGCTATTTTGCCCATTGGGAAGCTCGCAGGGTTCTCCTGGTTGCCATCCACCTAATGAGGGCTCAAAACCGCACTTGTCAGATGTCAAATGACCAACTAGTGATTACCCTCCTTGGGTGGGGAGGTAAGTGAGCTGGCTTGAAGGTGACATTTTTGGCAACTGAATGTCAGAATCGAGCACATCCTCTGTGGCGGTCTTGGTAGAAAGGGTCCTGAGCCAGGTGGGTCTGCAGTATTCCAGGGTACTGCTGATGACAGTCTTATTCTTTTAGGAAATAATATTATGGGATATAGTACATAGGTAGTTTGGGACATATGTGCATGCGACCGCTAGGAAGGTGGAAGGCAAGCTAGATGGACTTTGGTCTTTTTTCGTCTAGCATTTCTTATGTTCTTATGATAGCAAAGCCACACTGGCTCATTGGCAGGACTTGAAAGGCAGCTCAGTCACGAAGGGCAGGACTCTTCCCACTCAGTCCTAGTTAACTTTGTGGGTCAAAGCCCTAGCAGGTATGGTCGTCCTATCTGGACAAGCAGCAGGAAAGCTTACCAGATGGTGCTTTCAATGGCAAGTGCACTGCGTATCCTCACAAATTGGCTGCTTGGCTGAAATACCAGGCGATAACCAGCAAAAGTAGATCCAGAATGTAATCTGGGATGGATGCTTTCAAAGCGTGTGTATGTGTGTGTATGTTGGGGGGGTGGGGAGAGGGGGTGAACAGGAGAGAATAGATGAGTGAGCGACTTATAAGCAACAGCTTAATGATGTTTGGATACAGGGAAGATTTTATCATTTCAACAGCTGTTTGTCATTTAAAATCACTGAGTCGATTAGTGGCCAATTAATCTCTGCGCTCACTCGTCATCTCTTTGCCTAAAAGCAATCTGAGTCAATGCAGCACCCTACCTGAGCCCTCCCTGTCCTCACCCTTTTTTTTGGTATTACACTCCATGCTCTCACTCTCCTGGACCTCCTGCCCTTAACCTCTCTGCTTTCATCCTCCCTGCACTCATTCTCTCTGCATCCTCTGTGCACTATTTGTGCACAATCCATCCCCACACTCTTCAATCATCCTTCTGCACCTGGGTGGAGCTGCGAGATGCAGTTGAGGAGTGCACAGTAATTAAATGAACGCACAGCCTTTTAAGGTAATTACACTTAGCAATTATTTTGATGATTGACTTTTAGCATTTGAATTAATTCTTACATCTTATTTGAGAATAAATGCTTTTATTAACTAATGGATGAGCACCCGATGAACACCACAGTTGTTTTAATTACCAGACCAAGAGCGACCATGCTTTTTAGGGTAATTACTATCCGCAGATTATTCGTATGATTGACTGCAAGTGTAATCAGTCAGGGCAAGCGGGAATGATTAATGTAGCACTATACTATATACAATGCTTAGGCATGTTGAACATGCAGTAGTCAGGCAGTTTTAATGCTGTTCTAAAGCTTGTCTTTGGTGAATCCCACAGCTGAGTCAGCCTTGCCTGCTGGGTACACATTGATCAAAAGTCCCCACTGTTGCATCGCTGTTAAAAATCTGCGGTGCCCTGTTAGCTTGAGGCTGTGCCAGTGTCAATAAATAAATCTATTCTGTGACAGCTCACATCCCCCAACCCCTCCCTCCCTCCCTCTCTCCCTCCCTTGCTATGTTCTCTTGACATGAAAGGCGTTATATAAATGCATAGTATGTTCGTCCGGAATCCTTTCCTTCCTTCACTCCATACAGAGAAAACGTTTTCCCATCCATAAAATAAACTTGCAACTGAAGTACAATGTCCACTTTTATGAAACGTTGTCTAAGAGACAGAACCCGAATCCCAGACTCCCTAACCTTCACCTACTGCCTTGTAGAAGAAATTCATCAGCAAGATTTGTCTATAAAGTAATTCGGTTGCAAAGCTGATGTAAAACTATTTCACCAGGGAAGAATTGATTCTAGAGTAAACTTGCTGTGGGTAACTCTGGGTGGAGGGGAAGAGTGAAGGAGGAATTCTACACTGAGTGAGGCCGGCAGTGCTTTAGTTTTTGTAGGAGTTAAGTGACAATGTGTTTTGGAGCTTCCGGCTAGTTTACAAAATAATGCGTTATTTGACAAAATACTTTCCTCTTTGGAAGCGAAAAGCATTTTTGGTTTGAACAATCCCAAGTATTATAACCTTGATCGATTGGAACGGTACTTACAGGCAGAGTACACTAGCCTGCCCTCTGGCTCCGAGTTACAGGAATGGTTTGGATAAAGAAAACCTGAAATACATCAAACACAAGCACTTCATTGCAGTGGCGGTCAGCTCGTTGAAGACATATTTTGTTGGCAGCCCAATTCACTGGAGCCAGGGTTTTGAAGGCAAATTAAATAAAACGTGTTCTACGCAAAACGTTTGCAGCAGATAGTAGAGTTAGGGACGACTTCATGAAAAGTGAATTAGGCAGACTTTGAAGAGGAAATATGTAAAAGTCTCTGGAAAAATGTGCGACTCTTAGGTAGAGCACAATGGGACAACTGGCCTTCTCCTGTAAAACTCTGTACTTCCATGATCTTCTAATGCTAAAAAGTTTAGAGCACAGAATGAGACCATATGGCCCATTGTTTTTCCTCTTGTGCTATCCATCTCTTCCTCCAGAGCTATCTCTTCTTTCCCTATAGCCTTTAACATTATTTTCCCTCAACTTGTTATCCAGTTATTTTTTAAATGATATTATAGATTCAGCTTCAGCATCGTTTGTGGTAACCTATTTTACTGATGTGAAAAAAATTCTTCCGCCTTTTTGTCAGCAATTAATCCTTTATTTATTGGGAGATTGAATGTGCTATGTGATTTTTCTACAGGTTTCCTCTATGTCACCTGTCCGATTCTAAACTGCACTGAAAGAAATTTGAAAGCTCACTTCTCTGGATACATAGATAAGAACTCACTGCTTGTCAATGATGACTACATATTCATTCAGGTAATTGATTCATCTCCCATTCAATGACCTTTATTGATCAGTGCAGTTATCTTATTTGGGCATATACTTGGAGCAAGGAAGCAATTTCAAAAGATTGGATGGAAATGACTTTTGCTATGGTTTTAACTTGTAACTGAAGAAGTTAAGTTCTTCGACGGTGAAGTATTAAACCTCAACTATGGTCTCAGTAGGGATTCAGTCCTAAACTCTTTGACGGCTCTGCACTGTTCTGGAAACAGACTGACTGCCCACGGATCGACTCAGATGAGCAGACTCACTCTGCTGGGGATCTCCTCGGCTGGTGTCATGGTGGTTGCTGGGCTTGACATTTCCGTCAATTAAGTGGGAATGTTCCAACCTCCACACAGGAGCCCTTCAGCTAACGTTCCAATAAAATACATTCAAAACAAAAAGTAAGCGCATATGAAACATCAAACACTGAACATTTTGCGCACAAGTTGCGTAAGTTGTGGGCAGTGCTTTGAGATGTCCTTCCATCATGCAAGGTGCTATATGAACCTAGATTGTGATTGTTTTTTTCTGCATTATATGAATGTGTTTCTATGTTGGGTCTTTTTCAGTCAGCCTCTGGAAATTGGACAAAGTATTATGTCTCTTACCGCCGAAATGAGTTTGTTCAGATGAAATTACCCAAATACGCCTTAGCAAAGGTAACTATTATGATACATGTGGAGCTCTTATGTAAATTGCAATCATAACTGTGGTGTTTATTCTTTTGTGATATGTTTATGCTCCAATGGATAACTGTTTGTATCAAAGTTATCACCTTAACATCAAAAGTCCGAAATTCCACCAAGTCTTAGCTCTTAAACTCTTCTCCTACAATTTATGATGCAACACAAATATTTGCAATACTAATTTACATGTATATAACAACAACAAAGAAACTAGTGCCTTTCAATCTTAATTTGGAAGCTCAGTTCTGACAGTGAACCATGACGAAAGGAATAGCTGACATATAATGGCCAGAAAATGGGTTTGCTTTGGTGCCATCTTGAATTTTTAACTTAAGTGGAAATTTTATCTTTTGACTGCGAGCTACTATAATTTAGTGTTGTATATGTCAGCCTGGCTCAGTTATTTGGGCTGGTACATCAATACAGTGCTGTGGATGTGCTGATTTTCTGAGGTGCTGTCCTTCAGATGAGACATCAAACATTAGTCTCATCTGACTGTTGAGGTGGTTAAAAGAATTAATGGCAATATTTGAAAAGGCAAGTGCATTTATCCCAATGTTCTGGCCAACAATCACCCTGATAAAATTGGTCATTCATTTCAAGGCTGTTTGTGGGACATTGCTTTTCATCAATTAGCTATTGAATTTGCCTACAAAATACGCAGTGACTAAACTTTACAATAAAATCCTCCTGATGTGAAAGGCACTATTATCAAATACAAGAAGCATTTATCAGGCACCAGCTGAAGAACAAGCATTTCATCTTTATTCTCTGCATCCCATTTAGCCACTGATTGAAGAATATGATCAATCAGGAAATTTCGCACTTGTTCACCGAATGGTAATAATTTGAAAAGTAAAGTATTTAAATTGAAAAGAAGGCAATTCAATAATCAAAACTCTATATTGAGGGAAAAATCCAAGGCAGCACCAATTCATTTCTGGAAAAAAACTGGCCTATTGTTAAGGATCACATTTCTATCTACCTTTGTGATGATTTTCACTCTATTTCACTCCATTGTCTCATTGTTACTGATGCTATTGTTAATGAGTTTATCACCCAATCCAAGGATTTGTCGGCCATTTTCTGTTTTACCATTTTTGAAAGTGGGACAAAAAAGTAACAATCGTCTAGAGAGCGCCTAGAATTTTTTCCCCTCTGACTAGAATGTCATTTTTTATTTTGGTCAGCCGGGTGTCTGATACGTGCAGAAACCCATCACCATGCTTAAGCGTATTCAAACCAGTCTTGAGAGTGCCACCTGTTTATTCCACCTACACATGGAAATTTTCCTGCGTCTCGAATGGAATGTGCACTCTCTCTATATAGTGATGCACCCACCGTACTTAATTCTGGAGAGTATTAAGTGCAGGTTGGTAAGAGCCAAGGCTTGGATTGGAGTGTTCCTGCAATTTAATCAGCTAAAACTGCATAGCTAGCCATTGAAAGAACTGTCTGGCAAGCTTTGTGGTACTTGTCCAGCTGTGATCATTAGTGCTTTGGCTTCCTGGGTTAACAGGAGCTGAGTGGGAATAATCCCTATTCCCAAGTCTTACCGATGAGCCAGACTGGTTGATCTGTCATTAGTGGCGCTGGAGTACAGTAGACGGGCCTAGCTCAGGAAACTGGACTATCGGGACCTCCACAGACGATTTACTTGATTCTGACATTCTGTTGCCAAGCACATCACTTTGGCGCCATCTCCCAGGAGATCATAGTTTACCTCCCCTGAAGAATGAGATTTATACTCACAACTTATGTGGTGCTGCCTTTCAGTGGCATCTCAAGTAGAAAATAGCACAACAATTTTAAATGACATTTTCCACTGGCATCACGAATAGCTGAAAAGATAGAAAATCATCAACAGTGACTGTTCCCCTCCACTGAAAGGAGTTAATGTACAGTACTATGTGGCCTGTAGTGAATGCATCACTTTGTAGTATTTTTTGGAAGCTGTTTTACTGTAGTTCTTTTTAACCATGTCTTGTGACCTCCACTAGAATATTTTTATGTTTGAGGTGTGGACGGGATCAGGCTTGACTGATACCTCCAAATCTTAAATAACTTACCAACACTCACTATCCCTGCTAATTCATGCAAAACGATCACTTGTATGAGGTACTGATGGGCTCTTGGCATCAATGAATATGTTCAAAGGACATTGGGTTTCTGTGCAAAGCAAAGGAAAGCTGAATATTTTAGAAGGTATTTCATTTTTGAATAATTAAAAAAAAAGACATTTATCAATCTGGAACCAGTCTTTAACTCTTTGAGACAGGAATATCAAAGTAATTCAAAGCTTATTCAAGACCTTTGAGGTAGAAGAAAGAGACCAAAATCGATATTAAGGAAACTTCACACTGTAGTTCTTGAACAAAAAAATTCCCCCGTGCAGCTTTGAAGCCTATTACAGCACAACCTTTTCAAATTGGTCTGATCATTATTTGAATGATTAAATGTTTAAAAGGCCGGCAGTGCTTTCTCTCGTGGGGAGGGAAGGTGCAATGCGGAGCTGGGCTGTAAAACCGGGAGAGTCCCAAACTCAGTGCTCATCTGTGCTGATTTAGCTAATATCATTGTGAGTCATAATCGAGGCACTACAATTTGTCTCATCACTACTGGGAAATGGGAAATAAGCCAGAGAATCATACTTGGCTTGTGGATAGGACCGTTGATTGAGGCTAGGACTGAACCACAATACCTCCCACAATTGAATAGCCTGCTGACACTTAACTGTCCAGGCTCACACATAGGGAATGGATACTTGGCTGAGTTACTGGGAGGCTGGTTGCAACTGTACTACAGTGTGAGTTGGGTCTTCATTAGAGGGGGAGGGAAGAAATGGAACGGAGAGAAAAAATAAAAACAATATTCAAAGCATATTTGGAGAGTGCCAATAGGCTATATCTTTGAAGTGCATTGCACATCCTGGACCAGATATGGCCTGCAGGCCTTGCGGTATTCAACCCTGCCTTAGCTATCCAGATGGAGTAAATGATTCATTGTTCCTCAATAATAGTATTCCTTTGTTCGTGACTGAAATGTTCCAAATCGCAGTTTGTGAGCGATGTCTTGATTTAGAATTGTAAAACACAGGGATTTCATTTCCGTATCTTTCATTCCCATCAGCATAGATGGAGGGGGTCGGCATTTGGTAAAACTGGCTGATCAGACTACATGAATGGACTTTCTCGCTTGCATTTTGGCGTCTGTAGGGCTAAAGTTGCCTCAATACTTCTGCGAAAATATTGTCTGCACATCTCCTCTTCAAAGGATTTTCTTTAAAAGTTTAATTGGCATGTCCACTAGACAGTGATTTGAACAGTTTTTACGGCTGCATAATAAGGATTAGCATTGTGAATAACAAGCCTCACAGTCAAATAGAAACTACTGAAAAAAACAAGTCTATTCAGCAGCACTCTTGACAGAAACAGCCGATTGCTTCAAGGGAAAAACATTAATGAAAAGTAAATACATTGTGCAAATTTCAGAATTTGAAATGAAGTATGTTGACAGGAGGCTGACATGCTTTTTCTGGCTGAGCATCACCTGCTGAATTCCCTGTGTATATTACTTGTCTTGCGAAAGCAGGTGAACACTCAGTTATTGCTTATCAAATACAATCAGCAGCACCAGAAATGTAAAGGTGGAAAAAGGAGGAATTTGGTAGGTTCCATTTATGGGACATTGAGGTAAATTTAACGTTTGATTCAATATTTAGCTCATTGGATGTACCCAGACGTGTGAACACCACCCCACTCCTCCTTCCATATGGACCTGATTTTACTGAAATAGCTAATGAGAACAGTGTTGTTCCTGCAGTCAGGTGGGGGAGAATCCGTATTACACACAAAATCCAGAATATGCATGATATAGTAACCTGCATGTACATCTGTGCACAGTCAATGCACTAAATAGCAAATGAAATGTTACATTAACCTCATTATGCTCTAGAGACGGTCAGGATCCCTATGAGTGAATATGAACCAGTTTGGGAGAGGAATTGAACATATCTTAAATTTGGACATTTCAGTCGGTTACAGTTGGTAGCTTTTTAAATTAAAAGCCCCTTTTAAATGACTTGTTACGTCCTTTCTATTAGTTTTGCTGCCTCGTTGACTTGGCTCGATGTGTTTTTATTTTTAAAGGAATCATTGAAATGTTATTATGTTCTGTGTTCACTCCACATCTTCCCGTTGTCTAGGACATGCAGATCATCAGTACGGATGAGAATCAAGTCTTCGTAGCTGTCAAGGAATGGCATCAGACTGACACCTACAACCTGTACCTGTCTGACGTGCAGGGCGTGCATTTCATTCTTGCTCTGGAAGATGTCAGGAGCACCAAACAGCCAGAAGAAAATGTTGTGATAGACATTCACGAGGTAAACTATACTTCAGTCCCTCTCATAACTTATATACACAATGTGAAATTCACAGTCAAACAAAGCATTGTGCAAAAATTCTGAAATGCATTCTTAATTTGGAAGCAGGGGGCTGGGCTGGGACGTTCCATCCTTAACAGTAATGTACGGAGGATCAGATGTCTGAAATTTCAGTGTGCACAATCCTTAGATTCAAGCTTATATTAATAATACTTGCATTTGATATTGCCCGCCTCCATCCGTACCCCACAACCAAAGCAGCTGAAACTCTTGTGCACACCTTCGGCATTTCCTGGCTGGATTATTCCAATGTCCTCCTCATTGGTCTCCCCAGCTCCACCAAACAGAAAATTCAACTAATTCAAAAACTCTGCTGCCCAGATACTCACCTGCACAAAACTCTGTAACCCTATCACACCAGTCCATGCCAGGCTCCATTAGCTCCCAATTATCAGAACGGATCGATTTCAAGATCCTCTCACTTGTTTTCAAATCCCTTTGTGCCCTCCCTGTCTATCCGATTTGCTTACCCCCATTCCACCACCCGCTGCCTGCGATCGGCTGGCTCCGGTATCCTGTTTGTCCCTCGACCCCTCTGTTCCACCATCAGTGGCCGTGTCTTCAGCCACTATGCCCCAAAACTCTCTCTCTCCCTCCCTCCCTCCCTCCCCACTTTCAAATCACGCCTAAAGTCCTTCCTTTTTGATCACCTCCCTCTCCCCTTGGCTCAGGGTCAGACTCCACAACTGTGAAGGATGTTATATAAACGTAAGTTGTTGTTGTATCACGTCTTCCAGACGTCTCAAAGCGCTTCACAGAACATACTGTAAAGTGAATTGACTGTATATTTTTGGGGCAAAACATGGCAGCCAATTGCACACAACAGTGTTCCACAAACTGTCGTGGGGATTGAGTGACCAAATTATTATTATTTTATTTATTTTTCAAGGGATTATTACCCCTGGAAAAGCGACCCACCTATCGACTAACAACCAGGTTCCTACCTACTGCTAGGTAAACAGAGAGGCGGGTGGAGTAACTTGCCCAACATTTCCCCCTGCCTGGGAATCGAGCCCAGGTCCTCTCGGTTGTGAGGCGAGTGCTCTAAGAGCTACAAGATTCCACAGCTGCTTAATTTAGCATTTGTTTTCTTTCAAGAATCTGCTTCCAATTAAGAATGCATTTCAGAATTTTTTTGCTCAATGCTTTCTTTGACGGTGAATTTTACATTGTGTGTTAAAATTTTAACTTCTGATTTTGCAATTTATCCTGCATACAGCACCACACAACCAGGTATTAGTTTTTAAAAGTAATAACTGACATTTATACACCATCTTTCAATTAAAAATATAAGCCATTTAATGTTACCAAAGAGACATTTGTCTTACCAAATTTTCTATAACATTAAAACTTAATGACTTCTAAAAGCTTATGAATTTTAGAAGCCAGTGGGTGACCTGAGGCTGTTCAAGAGACATTATGTGTCAGTATCCATTGATCGTGCTCAGCAGGCGTCAATCAAACTGCATCTAAGAGCACCTTCTCCTGATAGTCTCAGGAGCAGTCCTTCAGCACCATTCACGCTGACCGAACCGAGATTTATATTGCACATTTACAGGTGAATTGCCACAAAATAAAAGCGATTTCCGCCAAATCTGCAATATAAACCTAACATTAAATATCACGTTGTGGTGCGTCTCGCAGTTTGGACGATACAGCTAACTTTATGCATATTATAAGGGCATTATAAAGGTCAGCAAGCTTTGAAACATTCATATAAGGGATTTGACAGACTGAATTTGAAAGACTGGAAGATGCATTATACTGGAAAACATTTCATGCGTCACTTCATTGCACAGAAGATCTCTACAAATTGAGTTTTAGATCAGTGTGCATGTTCTCTGCGTTCAATTTGAATAAAAATGGAAGAACCTCTTGCACTATTGAAATGGAGGGTGGTGGGGAGATAACATTTTGCTCTCTGGCCTGTTTCACTTTGAAAATCACAATTAACTCTTCCTATCCCTGTTGCAAATATCATAAACAAGTGTGTTTGTCTGCAAAGATACAGTAAATAAACTTTACAGTAAATCCTGAGAAGGGTTTCAAGACATTTCAGCATTGTGATGGATGTTATATTAAATGCAAGTGTTATCACAAATTAGTGGAAATATATTTTTTACATAATTCTTCATACCTCCGTAATTCAAAGAGCCCTGGCAGTTATTGAAATTAATGAAAACTGCTGGAACTACAAAGAGAAGAAGCACAGCTTTTTGAACCAGCCCGTAAACTTTGCAACATGTATCTATTTTAAAAAAAGATATGTCAGGGTGACTTCAAAGCTGTGGCCTAACTTCAGAATTCAGATAATAGTTATACATAGGAATGTACAGGCCTGTAAAATGTAACTGGCCATCTGGCTGCTTCTAATGTAAACAAAAATGATGAACCACTCATAATCTCAATTTTTCTTGCTAAATAGCTATCTGCTGGCCTGAATTTGCTGACTAAATCTGCCTCCACTACTTCACTGGTTAGTTTGTTGCACACACAAGGTATCGCTGTTATAATGCAATGGGCGACTTCAGTATACTCAGATCTCCGTTAAAATGGTATTTGAGAAAATGTCTGTTTTCCAAATTATCAGGTTGCTGCTGACATCACCTCCTGTGTCCTGTGGACAGCCACTATGAAAAAGAAGCACCTTTGATGTCACTGCCTTTGTGCTGTTGCGGCACATAGCATGCTTACGCAATTCTTGGGAAAGAGCGCTTTGTTGCATGCAGGTGTAGTCCATTCCAGCAGTGCTGTACATGGCATGCGTAAACAGCATGAAGGAAATGACATTTGTGACACTTCCTGTGCAAGGTCCACATGAGTGTAACGTGCGAAGTAATGTCAGCAGAGAACTGACAACCTAGATGTCAGCCAAATTTAAGCACGGCTACTCAGCTTATCAGTGGCCGAAGCTGGGTGCATTACATTTATTCGAAAAGAGAAGAAAGTTTCTCCCATTGTCCTGGCCAACAATCCCCAAATAAAATTGGTTATTCACTTCATGTGGGACAATGTGATGGGCAAATTAGTTGCCACGTTCACCCACAAAACACACATTCAATTTGCAGCATATTCTGTGAAGCATTTTGAGACTGCCTCCTGACGTGAAAGGTGCTATTATTATTGTTGTTGTTATTATGGTCATCCAATAAGTGGATCCACGCTAAACCTTATAGTGGAGTTGCCCTCTATTCGTTACTCTTTGTAAAGTTATTAAATCCAAACTGTCTGTTCGTCCTCCGTTTTTTGATCTTGAATTAATATTCCCTTGGTTGAAAATCTCTCAAATTTATGGGTTATAATTACGGGTGATTCAAAACTTTCAATTGGATCAATTGCATCCATTATTCTGTGCTTATTTAAGCATGTGACATGTCAGACACTCACACACAAAAACAGGTGATTCACACAAGTACCTGGCTATGGCTGGGAGAGATGTACTGTTTATGTTTTGTCCCTGTTACTGCTGTTGAGAGTCTCAGCCCACTGCTGAATGACTTCTGCAGCTCTGCACCCTGCTGGTGAAAGTTAGAAAGTGTTTCACATGAACAAATTAATTACTCTTGCTGATTTTTNCACACCTCTCAAATATTGATAGTGTAAATAATAGAATTACCAATCACACGTAGAGAATAAAATGCTAATAACTCCGATGCTTTTATCCAAATTCATCTGGGCTTTGGGCACAAATGAATATAATAATCCTTGCATTTGATATAGCGCCTTATCATGTCATGTTGTTGCGATGTCTCAAAGCATTTCACAGAATACATTAAGTGGATTGACTCTGTATTTTGTGGCAGCTGTGCGCAATTGGCTGCCACATTTCACCCACAAAATACACTTTGTGATATTTCCTCCCTTCCAAACAGTTGTGGATTGAATAACCAATTTTTTTTGAGGGATTATTACCCCCGGAAAGCAATCCGCTAATCGACTAACAATCGGTTTCCTACTTACGGCGAGGTAAACAGAGGTGTGTGGAGTAAGGAAACCTGCCTAAAGTTTCACCCCATCCAAGAATCGACCCCGAGTTCTCTCACTTGTGAAGCGAGCACGTTAGCCACTATGCCACGGGATTCCATATAAATATCATATGAATATGATTTTCAGAGCATGCAAATTTTGGAGAATTCTTAAAAATTTGTCTTAATTTTGAAGACGGTTTAGGAAAATGTCAGCTCCACACTGAGACAACAACAAGAACAACAAAGTTACATTTGTATAGCGCCTTTCATGTCGGGAGGACGTCCCAAGGCACTGGACAGTCTGCTTCGGACCCAAGTCGGGGTCGGAGAGGATGGAGGGCAGGAGAGGAAGGAGAGTGACTGAAGGCACAATTGAAGAGGAGTCTTGAGACGGTTCTTAAAGGAGGCAAGGGAGGGGGCGAGGCGGAGGGTTGGGGCAGAGTGGCTGAAAGCCTGCTAGCCAATGGTGGGGTGGGTGAGGTGGGGACGTGAAGCAGGCCAGAGCCCGCTGAGCAGAGTGGCGGGCAGGTTGGTAAGGGGTTAGGAGATTGCAGAGGTAGTGGAGAGCAAGGCCATGGAGGGGTTTGAAGGTGAGGACCAGGATCTTGAAATGTATTCTCTGGGTGATGGGAAGCCAGTGGAGTCGCTTATGGATGGGGTTGCAGAGCCTGGTGCAGGAGGGGACATGGGCTGCTGAGTTCTGGATGATCTGCATCCTATGGAGGGAGGAGTTGGGGAGGGCAACAAGGAGGGAGTTTGCGTAGTCACCTGGATGTTATGAATGTGAATATGAGGCTCTCGGTGGCCTACAGTGTGAGACAGTGGTGGAGTCGGCCAATGTAGCAGAGATGGGGGAAGGTGGAGTGGGTCATGGCACAGATGTGGGGTAGAAAGGATAGTTGATGGTCAAACAAGACGTCACGTTTCCAGATTGGCTCAGTGAGGTGGAGTGTGCGTCCTTGGATGGTGGTG